AAACCCTCTCCCAAAACAAAATAAAGTCTTATGTTTGGGATTATTCCTGCCAATAACATACCCGTGTATGTATGAGAAACCCAAACTGATGAAAATTCAACCAAGTATTCTTTGAATGTGACAAGCTTAAGAAAAAAAGCTGAGATTTAGGTTATAAACTATAGATACTGTTGTGCATGATGGCCTGTAATCCAAACACTTGAGAAGCTAAGGCAGGAGATCACTGAGTTTGGGGACAACCTGGACTGCAGTGAGGTCAAGAGCAGTCTGAACTACATAGTGAGACAATGTCTCAAAAGTAAAACACAAGGGAGCCGGGGAGATGGCTCAGTAGGGTAAGCGCTTGAATGGCAAACACAAGGATCTGAGTTCAATCCACGGTTCCAAACAAAACAAAACAAAACAAAACACAACACACACTATATGAACAATTAGGCAATAATATCCTTTCAATGTTAACTTCCTGATTTTGATAAAATACCCTTGTTTGGTGAAGAGGTGCTAGCCTTCCACCTGCATGTTCACAATGCCTGTAGTCTCAACTACTATGTAATAACAACTGAAATATATTCCAAAAAGTACATGGCTAGGTGAATCAAACTAAGATGACTATGGCATCACCAGTGATAAAATCTTATGGGACAATATGTGTTCATCACTGAACGCAATGTGCTATGTATGACATTGTTTCCAGGCATATCTGAAGTATATCGGGTAATGTATATGAAAATACCACGCCATTTAATAACACTCTTATGTAAGATATCTGAGCATCCGAATGGTGCATGAGAAGGTATCTTAGCACCAAGCCCCTCTGGACACCAAGAGACAACTAACTACATATACTATTTTAGAGACATAAAAACACAGTATTTCGAACTTACTTTCACATGACTCAAAGAAAATCCGAAGTACTAATAGTTCTTTGTGCTGTACCTGCTAATTCTTCCCCAAGCATCATGATAAATGCAGCTAACAAGTCTATTTTTTAAGGTGTTTCCTAAAGCTTTTAACAAGAGGGAACTAGCTGAAATAGGCAATAAACTTTAATTTAAAAAATGCTGTCTCAGTTTAAAGATCCACTGTTTTGTAGAACCTCTTAAAAGTATCTCTAAACAGAGGTACATATGGATATAGCAAACAATTATACACAAAAGCTTCTTGCTGTGAAAGCCAGGCATATAAATTATTTGCAAACTGGTACAAATACAAAGGCTACAAGTATGTCCAACAGAACCTCAGTTCAGGGATTTAACTTCCCACAAGTCCTGTGACCAGAACTGTGAAAAGCTGGTTAATTTAGGTACCACTGTATATCCTATTAAAGATGTCACTGCCTAAAAAAAGCTACAAATTACCATATAAGTTGACATAATTACATTAGGTGTACTATAACAGCTTTAAAATAGCTCCATGAATAAAATTTTAAAATTCATGTTGTTGCCAGGGGTGATGATAGAGACACCTATAATCCCAGCACTTGGGAGGCTAAGGCTAAGACTGGAGTACTGCCTGGAGTTTGAGGCCAGCTTGGACTACACAGCAAGACACTATCTGAAAAAACAAAGGGGCAAAAAACCATTCATGTTATTACATGAGCCAGAAATATTTACTAATAGAAACTCTTGAAAAATATGTTCTATAGTATAATATCCACTTAAAGCTATTAGCATTCTACTACATAAAAATAAAATTGTATATTTAAGTGCTGTTAAAACCATGGAAATCTGAACAGAAACAACAAACAGTGGCTACCTCAGTAAATTCTGAGGGATGGGGCAGCACTAGTGATTGAAGCCTGAGGACATACTAGGTAAGTGCTCTAAGTATTGAGTTACTGAGTTATCCTCTAGGCTTAGAACATTTTCATAAGCATGTAAATCAGAGATTAGAAAAACAAAATTTCCCATGAGCCATGAGGTTCTGCCATCATGTATCTAAAACTGCATGCAATCATGGAGACTCAAGATGGAAAAAAGGGCTGACACAATAATGAAAATGTGAACGTACTGAAATGGAGGCTGCCAGTTTAAAGTGTCCCAAGTCCAAAACTAAGGAAGTTGGGGCTTAGAAAATGATTAAAAGTTTCCTAACCTATTTGGAAACAAAAACCACTACAGGGTAAAAATAAGTGCTGTATTTAATAAAAATTAGTATATTTAACCTTTCACAAAAGAGCTATTTATCATGTACTCTTCTAAGTATTTTTATAAAGGTTTTAATCTTCATAGCTTATTTATCTTTGCCATTTCAAAGGATAAAAATGAAGTACAGGGGTTAATGATTTGCCCAAAATAAACCATCTGCTATGTTGATGATCCCAAACTCCTGTTTCTGTACAACTGAAAGAAGATTCCTTTCTCATAGAAGACAGAAATGGCCAACCAATGGCAATCCCTCTGCAAAAACCCACGGTTAAGAGCTTATTGCTAAGTGGAAATACATAATAAAATCAAAACAAGCCTTTCCCTCAGTAAGCCTTTTATTGAAGTAAATGCATAAAATTGGTTAACAAAGTGGAAAAAAGAAGATCCAAGATGAAAGGTGGTAACACAGCAATGGGAACATAAAAGCTAGAGTATGTAGGATTCAAATGGGCCATAAAGGTACTACGGCAAATCAACAAAATACTACTGAATGAAAGAAGGGGAATTCCCAATGCTCCTCACCTTCCTTGTGCTATGGGATCAACACTGCGCCCAGCCACTAAACAAAAACACGAGGCATGTTGCTAATTCTGACTCTGCTCAAGAGTTAGCAAGGAGCTAATAAGCACTGTAAATCAGTCAACTTTTCTTAAGTAGGCCAATGTTATGCATAAAGTAATTTAGTAAGTCTGTAGGCAGGGAATAAAAGCTTTAATAACTGGTCTTTACCATTACTAAAAACAATGCACGGATACAAAATATGTACCTAAACAATTACCCACTTACTGAGGCAGCTAATGATGCAGTCATATGCCTCTTACCAAGTGATGTCATAGCAAATAAAAGAGTCCAGATGAGATGTGAGACTTTTAGAAAGCCACATTTCATTGTAACATCAATTGTTTCCTTTCAAAAGGCTGGGGCTCAAGCAGTTTTTATGGGTCTTTCTCTGAACACAAAAAAATTGGTCAAAGCCAATACTAAGAGTTATCACTTCTAAACTTTGAACAGGC